CCCGGGATCCTCCTCCAAATGCATTCAGGTTGTTAGAATTCAGTTCCTTGCAGCTGTAAAACTATGGCCCTCAGCTCTTAAAATTTGCCCTTCTTCACAAGCATTTCACAATATGGCTGCTTTTTCAAGGTCAAAGGAAGAGCATCTATCTTGCTTCAAATCTTTTTCTTAAGAGAAGGCCTAGTGTCTGTCTGTCTTCTGTATCTCTAAACATCTCTAATTCTTAAACAGCTGAGAGGATGACTGGGAAACCTATGTCCTGCTCACAGTGATCCTGAATGAAAAAGCGAGTAGTAGCTGGAGACAGCAGTTGACTTTCTCTGTAGAAGTGGATATGTGAGTGTCAGGAGAGTGAGCATTGACAGTAATGATGTCAACCTGAGGTTTCCACTGAAATGTGACTAAATCTCACCGGTGCCTGCCATTCAAACACGATCTGCATGACAGAGACAATGAGATCGTATCTAGTGTGAGAGCTTTTGTTAAAATGGAGAATCTATGAATGTCATACTTTGGAATGAAAGAGAGATTATGGACATAACTCATATGCATTTTTCCAAAGACATAGGTGAAAAAAAGAGGCATGCATATATTTGTGGAGTGCAAGATTTAAAATAGCAACTTCCAACTTCATTAGCTTGCAGAATGATTCAGAAAGATCACAATAGGTACAAATAATAAACCTTAGCTTAAGTGAAATTCAATAGTAATAAATACAAGGTTCTGACTTTGGACTTGACTTTGTTATTGTGGTAAAAAAGGACATTGAATTTAGTTTACTTTTGTTTATTGACAAGGACATTGGAAAGTAAAGCACATAAAAAAGATACTTCTAAAACTGTGCCTTGGAGGAACAAAATTGGTTTGATTAAAGGTCAGTTCAGGAAAAATAATATAGATAGTATTTTTCAAGCAAAATAAAAAATGGCTTTATTAAATCTCGGGGAGATGGGGTGGGGTGGAGAGGGGAGCACAATTTTACAGTTCAGATTTCTTCCTTTACCAGTGATACATAGCTTCTCATATTTCATCCTGAAATTAAACTGAGGGCCAATTGAGAAGCTTAGATGGGCCACATGGAATCCAATGGGAGATCATAACAGTCCTTAGTTATTTAAAAAGGTAATTATAATAGCAGGGTCATTTTTCCAGCTTCTTTCCTAACAATTCTGTAGAAAGGTTCAGGAGTAGCTTAATTAATTGTTCTCTAAAATAAAACTTGAGGAGATTCTGAGGCATTTACCTTAAGTGAGCTTTCTCAGTTTAGAATGGGCTTCTCAGATACTTGGATATTAGGACTATGTTTCTGGAGACTATAAATTTTAATTTTGTAAATTTACAAAGATAATGCATAGTCCTAAAAAGAAGACATCATTCTCTTAAAGAGTTTTCCAAAACTATGAATAACTATGCTTACCATCCACAGAGTTTAAAAATTCTGCAGAAGTAAAGAAATCGGTTAACCTTTTCTGAACTCTTAGGAGAAACAAGAGGAGTACTTAAAAGGGTTGAACTGGCTGCCTATATAATCTAGATTACCCTTTAAAAGTAGTATTTTTTCCCTTGTACATCATCATTTATATATATTCATTAATGCTTTTGATGAAACAAAATTAATTTCATAAGAAATTTACATTAAACCAAAAAGATAAAAATAAGAATTTCAACAAAAAGAAAAAAATACCCTTTCAAATAGATTCGACTGATCACCAGTCTCGAACTGAATGAAAACAATTTCCTACCCAATGGCTCCCTTCAGAAGTGAAAACCCAATAACTTGAACTACACTTCCTCCGTATCCAGAAATAAAAGGTTTTCAATGGTCAAAGAAAAGTTATCATTCTTTTTATAATTCTCACCCTAAATTTTATAAAATAAATCCCACAACTTTAAACAGCCTTAGTTTATTACCTATTCACTGTTATTTTAAACAATCTAGATATATACAAAATTTGTATTGTTTCTTAAATGCTGATTAATAAAAATATTACATAAGTGCTAATGGGATTTTCTCTTAAACACAGCCAATTAATGCTTACAAGTTTAGTTCTGTTTATGGCAATCCTTGTGCTTTAAAATTTTTTCAAGTATATAGACATCTTCGAGCCCTAAGAGATCAGAAAAAAATTTACAAAATATGTAGGGAATCTCAGAATTTCATGGGTGCAGATGAACTGATGATTCCTTAATGAATTGGAATAAAACTTTGGTTTATGGAAACAATTCTGTATTAAATAAATTACTCCGAAGATATCATTTTTAATGTTTTAAAATTTTAGGGTGGTCAATTTTAAACAGTTACTAAAAATAAGGCAGATTGGTTTTGATAGTTTGTCTACGTAACACTTATTAAAATAGTCTGTAATGGGTGTGGGCCTAGACTACAAATTCTAAACTTTATAAAAACTAAAAATGTCCTCTCTATATCCTTAAAGGATGTAATTACTTTTACTCAAATTGTGAAACTTAATCATTAACAAAACAAAAATTCTAATGAGTCATTATTCAAATTTAATTTTCTGGGGGTGGGGGAGCAAAAAAATAATAAATCTAATTTTCCAGTATTTTAGAAGAAAACTTTGGCTAGTAACTTAAGTGCAAATATTTTTGCTATTTTTTAAGTTATATCATGTATCATGTTATTCCTCTTGGTAACAAACTTTCTTACTCAATTTTATGTGTTACAAGAACATTAAAAAAATTTTAATTAACTAGAGTAGGATAAAATACTAGTGCAACTATGGCCATGCCACCCTGAATGTGCCCAATCTCGTCTGATCTCGGAAGCTAAGCAGGGTCTGGCCTGGTTAGTACTTGGATGGGAGACCACCAAGGAATACCAGGTGCTGAAAGCGTTAAAAAAAAAATACTAGTGCATATGATACTTGTTGTACTTGTAATATTTAAATATAATGTGCAGACAAAATAACTTACGTTTAGGTCACTGATAAATCAATTGTTCTTTCTGGCTTATTTCCTTTTCCAAAATTATAGTCTGTATATCTGATTCAAGATAAAATACTTGGAAATGTAATAATGATACCTATTTTACGTATTCCTATTAAAAGCAGAATATGTCTGCGAAAAACGGAAACCAGTAAAAAACTGAATTTTACAATGCCAAAATTAATGTTTTAAAATAAACTATGAATAAAGGGAACAACGAGGCTCATCTTAAGCTGTTTGTCATTCTTTTTTTAAGAGATTACAACACACATACAATAAATGAAATTTTATCAAAATACAGCACATTTCTTCTACTACATCCATAAAAATCAATTCCTATGTAAATAGTACTGAAAATCAACTAAAATGGGTTTAAAATTTACAAAGAGTTGTTAAAGGGTTTCAATCAATATTATTAAAACTATACAGTACAATAACCAATTGATAACATCTTGAAATAAGTGCAATATTTCAGTTCACATCTTTTTAAAAGTACTGCCTATTTAATCTGACTAGCAAGAAAGGAATGAGTCTAACTCACTTTTGCAAAAATAATATAGATTGCTGTTTTTGCTAGTCCTACAGTCTTAATTAAAACAAGGTTGAAGAACAAAGGATAACAGATTAAAAGTTCCAAAATTATATTTTTTAGTAATTAAAAATGAATTGCAATAACTGAATATTGCTCTATTGACAGGCTCTAGACTAGCCTCGACTAAAAACAGTTATTGGTCTTCTATGGCACTTTTTTCTGGTCCAAATAACCATGCATTAATTCTTATCATTGCATGTTACTCAAATTTTGATTACGTAGACAGAACAAAAACAAATAAAATTAGTGGTTTGGATAAACAAAATTAATAAACCTCTACCAAATATTTCTTACATTACTGAGAACAAAGGCAGTTGGTGGTAAAACACTATTAAACTGATACACTTAGAAACCCTTTAAAGACTCTGAAGTGTCGAGTTCACATTTAATGTTACCTGTAGGAAAAGCCCTTTATTTGAACACCTTTACACACTGGTAGGACCCAAGGACCCATCCCTTTGCTCTACAACTCCCCACAGCAATTCTCTATCACTGTGCCAGTTTCACAAACTTGCTTTGGTTTCCTAGCTCCATGCGTACTGTTTCCTTTTACTTTACCAAGGCAATGTGAGGCCAAACAAAATCAAGAGGCTTTCCTAAATCTTCTTACATTTTGTGTTACAGCAACACAATCTTAAAACTGGCCATTTTAGTTTCATTTGCTGCTTAAAATAAAAATTATAAATTAAGATTAAAATGGTGTACTAATTGTAAAACCGATTCCAAGTACCACCATTTGCAAAAAATCAAGGGATTTCCATATCAAGAAAAAGCATGGACATGCATCCACAATAGTTAAAAATTTCCTGTGACTAAAAAAATTAAAAATTGAATCACCAGTGGCAAATCTATAGTCAATGGCTATGACAAACCAGATCCTGTAGAGCTCATAAAATGCAATTCTTGTCTTTTTTATTTCTTTAAAAAGACATTACATTTTTGTTGCATTATTCTATTATAAAAACACATTAACGAATAGCTGTGTTTTCATTCTTTGCTTCCAGATTTTTATAGAAATTAACTGTTTCAATCTGGCCTTGGAAAGTGAACCCACCAGCACCAACTTCACCTACTCACTCTTCAATTCAATATGCACATAGCAA